GATCATTTCCCAGGGGTGATACCACATGAAGAAGAAAGGGAGGTTGAAGAAGCAATTGGCGTCCAGGCTGAGGACGAAGTTGAGGTGGAAGAGGCCTGCACCGGCCATGAGTTACATGTGATATCTCCACCAAACTTCGAGGAGCTGCTTGGAAAGGATCCATTTGCAGTGTCTCTTTGCCAGACCAAGGCCACTTCGACATCGGTCCCTCTTGGTGGACGTGATGGTGGCCAAACGATGCTGTCATATCTGGTTTGGGGCAATGAGACGAGAGAAGAGAAGAAGAGGTCTCGAGGGTGGAGACTTCATCTACATCAAGTGCACGAGCCTTCATCAACTGCCACATCACCTGCTTGTGACTTGAGACTCCACCTCATAGATGAGAACCTCAACTTCAAGGAGGTTCTAGCATGGACCGAAACTTAGGAGCCATCGTCCGGCTCACGACGTGAAAGAAGCGCTTGTTGGGAGGCAACCCAACCAGTCGGTTTGCATTTCTTTCTCTATTTCTCCTCGGTTGAGTCAGTTTTGTTATTTGGTTTTAGAGTCAATAGCTCAACCTTTGTGAGATTTTGGGTGGTGTTTGTGTTCTGATTACTCTCTCCTCCTGGAATGCACCGCCTGCCCCGTCCATCATCATTCACCCTTGATCTGGTAACTTCGTTCTACCCTCCTTATCTTTCCTCCATTGAGGACAATGTCGTGCTTAAGTGTGGGGGGGTGTTCGATTATGTATGGGGGTGAATGTTTGGCTGTTTGTGTGCTTGGAGCCTAGTCCACTGTCCAAATTTCGATTTGAGGGCTCCAAGTACGTGTTTCCTTGCAAATTGCCTGCTCAGTATGCTTTGAATTGACAGTCTCTATAGTAATGTGCAACCTAGGGAGGTAGTGTAGCACTATGGAGGATGTTGAAGTATAAGATTTTTCCTATCTAGCTCTTTGCTGTGCCAGTTGATTTTGTGAATTAGTGGAGCTAGGACCGTTGAATTCATGTGGTAATGGTGACTCTATGTGGATTGTGTTTTGGACTCCTGTATCGAATAGGGTGCTCATATAGAAAATGGAAAGCAGTTGGTCCTCCATGTCGAAATCATCGAAATCTTAAACATGGGGTAAGCCCAACGTGTGTGGCACCGTTCATTGCACGAAATCGGGTTTTGGAAGAGATTTTAGTGATCCTTAGTGGGGTACTCCTACAAGGTGAAGCTAAGCTGTCTCTAGTACAAGTAAAACTTCCACCCGTTGAACGGTTTGCCTACTCGAGGATGTGTTTTTAAGGGCACGGATAGAGCTTCCGACCCCCCTTAATTTCATTGACCCTCCACACGAGTTGAGGAAAAGGAGTTAAAAGAGGTACTCTGGCGAGCGCCAGATGTACAGAAATTGCTCTTGCTCGACTAATAAGGGTCGACCGTGCAAAAGACTGCAGTTGGAACCCCCGCTAAGTGAATAAAAAGGAAAAAAAAGTAAGTAAAATGAAAGTGAAAAAGGGGTTCCAACGGTGAAATGAAGTGAAAGAGCACCCCGGTACAACGAGTCCTTGGTTGTGAATGGTGTGAGTCCCTTTATCCATGAACTGATTGTCTTACTTCTACTTTTTCTCATGATCCTGGCTTGAGTCTAGTACTCGCATTGAGAGAGATAGGGAACGTCTTAGAAGACCAGTTGACCTCGTAAGCTGCTATATGATCTAGGAAATCCTCTACCGACGATCGGGGTTGTATGTTGCTATAGAGCTCTGGAGAGCTGCATTGGTTTGAGTTAGGTTTGCTTGGGGACAAGCAAACAGTTAAGTGTGGGGGGATTTGATGACTCGGTATTTGCACATGTTTTCCCCTTTGTTTCTTGATTGTTTGAGCTTGAATTACCGTGTCTTTGGCCTATTTTACGCTAGGTTGTGTTCCTTTGTCACATTTCAGGTCCTAGCACATAAAGTGAAGCATAGGCGCAAGTTTCAAGTCAATCAAGATCAATTGGCGATTCGGGAGCAGAAACTCGGGCATGACCTGAAGAAGAATGGATTTCTACCTCACTTTATGGACAAAGAATCATGCAAGCTTGTCATGCAAAGAAAGAGGACGAGACTACGAGCGTCTGGGATCAAACGGCGACTGATTCGGAGTCCGGACGAGGGAGAAACGAAGCATTGAATATAGGGGAACAGGTTCGGCAGTAAAAACACGGGCGCGCCTAAATCAAAACACGGCCGTGCCCATATTTAGGCATGACCGTGTTTTGACCGACGCGACCGAGCGTGTTTTTAACACGGGGCAAAACACGGGCGGTCAAAAGCAAAGCACGGCCGTGCCCGCGACCGTGTTTTGCCCAGAATCGGGTTTTTTAACCCAAATTCGAGCCAAAGGAGAGGGAGAGCTGGGTTTTGGATCCCAAACACCCAAGGGACGAACCAAAGAGAGAGGGGGCGATTTGAGGGCATTCTTGGAGTGGAATTGGAGGATTTCTTCGCCTTGGAAGCTCGAGGAATAAGCCCGGACTTGAAGACTGATCATCTGAAGATTCTTACTGCAGTCTCTCTCTTCTCTATGGAGTAACTTCCCTTCACTTAGGTTTTGAGGAACCCTAGCTATGTCTGTTTGATTGGATGATTGTATGAGTACTTTGACTTGATAATCTTGAGTTCATATTCAATCTATGCATGTTTTCATGATTCAATTCTGCTTTAGTCGAGATTATTGATTCTGCTTTGATCCTATGAGAGCGAATACCTGATTAGGTCAATAGAGCACCATAGATTGATAGTAGTGGATCGATTGCTTTAGTCGAGGGTTGATTCACTGCTTTGTATCAATTGAGAACCTCATTCGATAGAGGGAGTCTAGTTCAGAACGCCTTGATCAGTTGTTCTAGAGAAGGATACGTCCCTCTAGGCAATTGACTCAAGAGGGCCTTGTTCCTTTAGTCGAGACTCAAGGTCTAGTTAAGGATTCTCCGCATTGTGAATGAAAGTGAAACAGGTTAGAGATCATCAATCATTAATCTGGCTAGTGGCTAGGGGGAATCATACCTAAGTGAGTTCCCAACCTGTAATTAGATTAACTTTAACTGTAGTTTGTTAGAGTAGTTTTAGTTCTTTCATCTTAATCTGGTTTGCTAGATAATGAATTGAAGCTGAGTAATAGTAACTCTAGAGACCCGTGGATTCGATATTTATTACTTGAGCCACTATACTGCAGTCCCTTTCATTGGTTACACGGTGCCCTCGCCGGAGTGCTCGCCAACGTCAGAAACTGGAAATTTTGTGTGGCCAAAACTGGGTTCTACGAAGCTGTTTGTTTGCGTGGGAAAGGTCCTTTGGAGTCCCACCGACGTATTGGACCTCGAATCGTGGCACACAGCAGCCACTTCTCGAGCTGACAAGGTTTTGAAGTGTGGATTGACATGTTTGGGGTATCACTTTCGTCATCCAATTTGCGAGGCCTTCATTGACAATTTTCGTTGCAAGTCAAGATAAGCAATGAGGGCAAAGCTTTTTGAAGAGGGAGGGCCTGATATGATCTCAATTGGATCACTCTACACATCACAATTACTTGATAAGGAAGCTATCTTAACTCACATATAGAGTTCTGAATTCTGGCTAAGTGTTGGACAGTGTCAGGCAACCTACTTTGGAGGCTTGGTTGTCTCGAATGGCTCAATGTAAATGCAAGTTGGGTGGCTTGTTTTGAAGATTAGATGTTTATCTATGATCTATCCATTGGTATTCTCTGGAGCTCGAGAGGAAGTCCAGAAGGTTGTTTCCCAGATGTCTAAAGGTGCCACCTGCAAAGCTGGAAACTGCGAGAATTTGGCTAAGTCTGAATTCGAGTGTGGAAAGGCAACTTGGGTGCTCAATTCACAATGATTGACTTGAAACCAAGTTTCAAGGTTTGTTCCACACGAAAGCTTGGTTTTTCTACTACAGAAACGAGGGGTTGGTTGATTGAATCAAGAACTGGAAGGCCTTGATCGAGGGCTTTGAAGTTGGCCTCAAGCCACGAAAATTACTTGCCTTCCAGGGCAGCTTTGTCTTTCCTTTTTGGACACGGATTATGTTTCTTTGTTGGATTTTGATTCCTTTTCGAGTTCGATTGTGTTTAAACTTCCTTATTAGTTGTTAAACGTAGCCTAGGTCTATTTAAACCGCAATATGCATTGTAATCGTCAGAGTTTATGAATGAAAACGTGACTTGTCACAAGATCTTGCGTTGTTGGTTGTGTTCCAGCTTCGTGTTTGCTTCGTATCGATGGAAACCACATCAATCGTGACCGAGCTTCGACCTAAAACCAATCGAGCCTCTTCCCAAGTGAGAATTTGACCTTTGGTCCGTTTTCGTTTTAAGTTTTGTTCAAGTTTTTGAATCTTTCTTCGACGGAATTGGTGTTGCGTGCTTTGATCTAAAACAAGCACAACTGTGCTCGTATTACTTTGGAAATTGTTTGGTCTGAGCGACAAAAGTCGACTTGCAGCATTCTGTTCTTCTTGTTGTGTCCGATTGTAACTAAAAACATCATGACCATCTCATCTATAGCTACATCATCGTAACGTTTCAACTCTCCCTCACTGACTAGTAGTTGACACAACTTCCTAAACATTCTTCTATCCATCCTAGTACTATCAATGCAACGTGTATCGGATAACTCAAGTACCTGTCTCATATAGCGCATTCTATCATTTTGACGGTCAAATATATTGTCTAAGGGGGTATTCTGTGGTTTAGACTCTAATTTTTTCACCATCAATAGCTCAAGAAACCGAATAAGCAAAGATACATAAACAAGCAACAAAGTTAAAACAATTCTAATAGCCTTCACAGCTTTTCTCTTCTACAGCCTATTAGATATCCTTCTCAATCGAGCCATAGCCTTTACAAACAAAAATGAACACACAATCAGAAATACCATTCTAATACACAATCAGTGGGCATCATGTATTTTTCAAATATTGTTGCTTTCCATAGGAGCAATAATAGATAACGAAAGCTAGCAAAATCAGAAAGAAAGGCAGATCTTATTAAAGAATCAAACAACCCACTTCAACATGAATGCATAGAAATTCAACCGTTTCACAAGGTATAGGGCAGCAGCAGTACTTGAAATAACTGTTCTCCCCCCACCCCGCCCACCCTCATGAAGTTAGCTAATCAACCCCTGTCATTATTTGTTATCGATGTGGAAGCCTGCAATTTATTAAGCCCACATGAACTATATATCAGGGGAAAACTAAGCTAGCTATTAGCTTTTAACTAATTACCCACCAGAGTGAATCCTAGTATTAACCCAACACACTGATGCAGACCACACATGAGAAATGATGCCACCAAATTTGATAGCATTAGTAAGTATACGTGCAAATCAAGAGCCATATCAGTTACGCAAAAAGGAAACCAGCATATCAGAGCCAGAATCACAACCATATCTTATTCAAGAATCAAAACCAAAAAACCCAACAAAAGAATCATTTTTGATAAACCTCAGGTTACATCCACGAATAGAGCGAGAAGAATCATTCCATTCGCATTCTAGGGTTCGACATAGAAATAGAGGAACAAAAAATATATGGCAATTACAAACCTGGGTTGCAGAGGTGAAGTAATCGACCGGGAATGGAGAATTATTTCCTGGTGTTATGCTGCCGTAGTCTTTCTCTAAAGCCCATACCTTCTCAATTCCTGGAGCTGACGAGACTCCTTCTCCGTCTTTCATTCTTTCTCACACTGTTGAGCCACCACTCCCTTTTTGTCGCTCGTTTTGTTGGGACGAAGAAAACTGAATGAGGTTAAATTTGGCAATAACGATTTATGTGGGGATAAGAAAGTAAAAAACTATCCTGGACTTCAAACCCTTACCAAAATCCCACATATGGAGCTGGTTTTTGGAAGTCCATGGCCCCAAATGATAGAAGCAAACAATGAATTATTAGCCAAGTCCATAGGGAATTCGTTTTGGGACCCAAAACCTTCATTTAATCCATCAAGCAAACGAGCTGTTAGTCTCCCTAATTATTACTTTTTGACTGAAACACGGTTGAAGTTGGAAGGGCCTCTTGAAAATATGATCTCACTCTTCCTCTTCTCTCTCAGTTCTCTCAATATCGCTACAGCATCTCATCTCTCCCTCTTCTCTCTCTCATCTCAGCTTCGTGGTCGCTGCCAGGGACCATGGAATCACTGAGAACCCATGGTTTACGGTACGTCTCCGACGAAGAGGATATTTGTTGTTACAATCCGGAGAGTATGCGGGGAAGACTCGAGTCGTGGGTTCTTTTTGGCTTCAGGTTATTGTTTCTTTTCCTTGCGTATGTTGAGTTTGTTCATTGTTTAGTGGGTTCCATGATATGAAATGGAGGATTGTTTGGTGGGTTTTTTCGTAGATCTGATGGAGGATTGTTCATTGCCACCTACTTGGGGCCAATGGGGTTATGGTGCACCGGCACCAGCTCTTCGATCCTCTAGGGAATGTGATGCTACTGTTGCAAGGCGAACAAGGTAGCTGGTTATGGAAGGGTACATATTCCTTAGGTGTTGGATTTGGTGTTGCCTGGATATGAGAAACGGGTGAGGAAGCTGCAGGCGGAGAGGTACTTGATGAACATGGGAATAGTGTCTGGTATGGGACTAGAATTGATGGGTTTGGAGTCTGGTGAGAGATCGCCAAGCGACAAGAGTGTTAGAGAGGCGACAACCCGGATTTCCTCTGATGCGTGTGTGAGGAACTCACAATCTTTCTGCGCCTTCTACTCTTCAATGTGGAAAGAGCACACTGCATGCACAGAAATGCAAGTTCCTAAAAGCTTTTAACCTTTGCGTTTAATTTTGTTGCTCATGGTTCTGTTATGAAGCCTAACATATTCCTCTATTTCATTAAGGTTTTGGAGCATGCATTTTTGGTCATTCAACCAGCCGATTTGGACAGTGGAGGCAAATCCTCACAAGCTTTTATCATGCAGACCTTAATCTTATACTATGTTTCTTTGTGTTGTAGTTTTGTTTGCTCATGTTTTTGTTATGAAACCTAATCAATTCCTTTATTTCATTAAGGTTTTGGAGCTGTGGTTTTTTTGCCATGGAACAAGCTGATCTGGTCAGTGGAGGCAAATCCTTCTATTGTATGAGGTATTTTGTTTGTTAGATAATTGGTTTGAATGTATCCCTCCCCTCTAAGAAAGAAGTACATAATTATTGGAGGGATAGAGGATTTCATTATCATGAGAATACTGCAACTGATAAAAGTAGAATTGATCTCCAAGTACCAAGTTGTATGTTTAGATAGTTGACATTCAGCGTCTAACCTGTAACTATAGCGGCAATCAGAAAGTAAAGAGGGTACATGTACATGATATTTTGTTTACAACCATTCTTAGTTCTAATATACTCTTTTGACATGGATTTTCTGTTAATTTCGGTTGGATTGGATCTTTTTTGCAGCTTGGTCTCAGAAATAAGGAACCTCATGATAAGATGTTCTAAGCCAGATGGAGACCAATTTTTCACATCCGCTCATAGTATGTTATATCATTCTGTAATCTGCATGATTGTTTATTCTTCAATTAAGAACTGGTATCAAACTTTTCATAGTTTTGGTAGACATGATGCAATGAGTTGCAAGGCGAATTGGTATCAAACCTTTAATCTATCATGCTTAAGTTATTACTTGATGATACCTCAACTCTGTATAATGCTTAATGCTACTGTAGCTTGAAGATCAACTAATGAGCTTTCTTTTTTCTTTTAGGAGACAAAGAGAAGGCTAAAGATCATATCTTTTATTCGTTTCTCCTTCTGTTTTCATTTCGCTTTAATTCTTTCTCTTGCTTTTCTTTTTTTTTTGGTTTCTCTGATCTTGCTCTGTGTTGGTTGCTTTAGCATCTTTTGAAGCGATAAAGTGGCCGATTTATGTTGTTGGGAGAAGATCTGAAGAAAGCTCAAAACTCACAGTTGTGTTTTTGTTTCACGTGCAACTTTCAGCATGTAACTGTAGGTGCGTTGGGGTCCAGAAATAATGAGAAATGTACAGAGCAGTATCTTGGGTTAACTGCAAGTACCTGGTTCATTTTGAGCGATGAGTATTGTGAATCAGAGAGGTGCATTTCCTAGATGAGGATAATGGGTTTCGGTACGAATGCCCTGTTGTTTGCCTATTCCTTCTTTGCAACGAGGCAAGCACATCGGTTTTGCTCCATTTTTTTTTTTTTTTTGCATTTCATGTTTATTTGCTCAAGGTAGGTTTTTTATATCTGATGAGTTTATTTTCTTATTTTCGTTTGAAAGAAAGCATGGTCAGCCTTGATCTTCTCCTTGCAAGAAAACACCCCAGGGATTGTAGTTCTTGGGGGAGTTGTTGAATTTTTGGTGAGGTTTGCTTTTTAATCTCCGTTCTGTGTTTCTTTGCATTTATGTTTCCATTTTTGTTCTATTTTCATTGGCGAGTCGGGGGTAAATTCTTACAATATTGTGTTTTTTATAATTTACCACCATTATGATGGTTTTAAATTTATTGACACAAATATTGTGTTTTTGTGGGGGAAGGAGTGAGAGTTCGCATAAGACTGAAGCGAATCCGCCATTTATGTATTTTGATGTAAAAAGCGCGGGCCCACATGAGACTGGTGCAGTGCCGTTGTCTCCTTTTTAAAGTGCGCTAAAAGATTCCCTTACATTTGATCAGCGGACCCGCGTGAGTGGTTCTTGTTTATGACATTTCATGTCTTAATGCGTGAATGAAGGTTTGAGCACGAGTTTGGAGTCGATTGGGGCGAATGGGGACGAGCGAAGGGAGATCAGACAAGTTGCATGGCCAGGACGAGAAAGCGCACGGTCGTGCATGGTTGCCTTTGTGGCCGTGTGGGATTTACCGAGAAGCTGCACGGCCTATGAATTGGTGGCCGTGATGATTTCAGCGAGAGGATTACAGGGCCAGGCTCTCGCATTGTACGGGCCGTGGACGGGCCATGCGCCCCCCAGGTGGAATTAAATGAAACGACGGGTTTTGAAGGTGCACGGGCAGACTATGAGGTTGCATGGCCGTGCGGTCTGGCCGTGAAATCGCGAACAGCTGTTTCTTATCCAAAATTCGAGTCTTTGAAGAGGGAGACGAATTATCAGAGCAAAAACAGAGTCCTAGAGCGAGAAAGTGCGAAGAACAAACCCTAGGATTGATTTTGGAGCTGGGTTTCATCAATCAAGCTTGGATTTCATCCTTGGAGTGAAGATTATCATCCTAGAGAAGATTCTTCCCATCATTATGCGTATGATTGCATTGAATTCTGTTTCCCTCTCTCTCTCTCTCTCTCTCTCTCTATGGAGTAGACCCTTCTCTAACTTGGGTATGAAGAACCCTAGTTCCATGTGTTAGGGATCATGTTTGTAATGACTTTTGGTTTGAGATACTGCTTGATTATAATCGATTGAAGTGTGTTTATTGATTCAATTGAAGCCTGATCAACTTTTCTTGATTTCTACTGCAACATGAGATAGATAGAATCTGATTAGGTTGTTAGAGCTTCTTCAATCGGTAGTAGTGAATTGATTATACGAGAGTTGATCGATTCACTACTTTGTACTAGAATCCAATTCTAGTAGTGGAATTCTGTGTTAATTGCCTCAGCAGTCTATCCCGGTGAAGGCTAGTCGTTTGCCAGTTAGTCTGTCTTAGAGGCTTGGTCAGCTTAAGAGATTCCAAACTACTATCGGATCTTCCGCAGTTTAATCAACAATAAATCAACCAAAGGAAATTACAACTTGGACCTAATTAAGGAGCTAGGGGGACTCATTCGCGAGTGAATTTCCCCTTGCTTTTAAAAACCAAACAATTTCCTGCTTTCTTACTGCTTTTGTTTACAATCACTCTCACTAAACTTAGTCCCGCTAGATAATAGATAATCACGGAGTAGGCAGTAGATCTAGACCCCGGGTTTATAAATTGAACTTGCCACTATTCTGCATTTCCGGACTGCGATTATACTTGGTTGTAGTTTGGTGTTGTGTTTTAGCGTGTCAAGTTTTTGGCGCTGTTGCCGGGGACCTCTAGGTTATTGTAGAAACGTTAAAGTTTGTTACTTTAGAATTTTGTTTACTGCATTTCTCTCTTCCACCTGTGTGCCTTCACGGGTTGCTTTTGCTGATTACGTGCAGGTAGTGCATGACCCGTAGCCAGTCGGGAGATCTACTGTCGTTGGACTAAGAGATTGAACAGACCTTTAGTAACCTCAAGCGGACTTTGAAGGCACGATTGGCTGCGGAGGAAGCTTTGGAGTAACTACACATCACCGAGGTGGAAGAAATGGGTGAACCACAGAACAGTAATGTGGTCATTCCCGAGGAGCATACCATGGGCTATTACTGGACCGTCGAGCCAAAGACATGAGGTCCCCCATCCAACACCCTCAAGTTGATGCCAACAACTTTCAGGTGAGTACCTCTCTCATTACCATGTTGCGCGGCTCTGTGGTATTTCGTGGAAAGGAGGGGGAGTGCCCCAGATCGCACCTAGGACGATTCCACGAGCTGATCGATGGGATCAAGATAAATGGGGTCCCTACCGATGCCATCCAGCTGAGATACTTCCCATTCACTCTCGAGGGGAAGGCCAAGGAGAGGCTGGACACTCGGCCTCCGGGATCGATCACTACGTTTGCCAACCTGGAGGATAAGTTCCTCACCCGCTATCAT